CTTTATCTCCAATTAACCACAGGTAATGGCTCTGTGGCTAAAAAATGGGAGCTCAAAGACAGTGTCCAGGGCCCTCAGTTCAAGCTCCACAACCAACAAAAGAGAAAAGTTTTAGAAATAGAGGATCCCAATTTCTTTACAGACTAGGAAGCACACCTAGCTCACACCTAGCTACTCAGGAGTCTGAGATCTGAGGAATGAAGTTCAAAGCCAGCCTGGGCAGCAAAGTCTGTGAGACTCATCCCTAATAAACTACTCAGAAAAATCTGGAAGTGGTGTTCTGGCTCAAATAGTAGAGCACTAGCCTGGAGTGCAAAAGCTCAGAGACAGTACCCAGGCCCTGAATTCAAGCCCCATGACCAACAAAAAAATAAAAATAAAACCCAGGTTAAATAGTATGTCCAAAATTATGTTGCTTATAAGAGCTGGCTTTAACACCTCTTATAGTTAGATTTTTCCCAACACTAAACCAATTTTTTAACACTCTAAGTCAGAAGGCCTCAGAAATGTCAAGAAAAAGTAGGATTTTCCTTGAGGCAAATCTGAACTGTACCAGCTTTGCTTTATAAATTCAGTTGTGCTGTAAGGGGGAAAAGGAGGTGCCAACTTCTTTGTAGAAGTCTAAAGATAGATTTTGAGGATCGCCTGAACTCTTGTTCAATGTCAGGTCACATCTGAGCAAAAAGCTGTGAAGGTTTGGAGCCTAGTACAAGTACTTCCTGTCCAGGCCTCTCAAAGTCCTGGATGCTAAGATACTTGACTCCCCAAGGACAAGGTAAAACCTTCATGTCTATTACAACATGCCCACCACAGAGCTATCCTATTAGCCAAGAAGTTGAAAGGAAATTCATGACTCAGGCAGGCACGCTAACCCACGGTGACTCACAGAGCCCTGCTTGTCCCCTTCTCCTGATTTTAAGGGTTCATTCAGAAATCACATCCACTCATTCAGGCCAGGAGGCTGAAGTAGGAATTAGGAGCCAATTCCTCCCAACAGGAGCTGGCACTGGAAGCCCAGCCTGACTCCCTCAGCTCCTCATTCAGGTCACCCCAGCACTGCAAGTCCTTGGAGAAGCCCTGTTTCCAGGCGCTTTGGATGGCAGGAGCTCAATGCCCACCCCACTTCTCTTCTAAGGCAAGGATTTTTTCAGATTCTATCAAAGAGGCCAAGAACACTCCCCTCTGCTCCACATTGGGCCCTCAGGGCAGGAAGGACTCTTAGAAGGCAATGGTTCCAACCTCCACATTTTACAACTGGGGATATTGAAGCCGGGTACTGTTGGCTCACATCTATAATCCTAGCTGCACAGGACACTGAGATCTGAGGATCATAGTTCAAAGCCAGCCCAGGCAGGAAACTCCATGAGTCTCTTAAAAAGTGGAATGCTAAGGCTGGGAAGGTGGCTCAGTGGTAGAGTCCTTGCCTCGCATGCATGAGGCCCTGGTTCGATTCCTCAGCACCACATAAGCAGAAAAAGCCAGAAATGGCGCTGTGGCTCAAGTGGTAGAGCACTAGCCTTGAGCTGAAGAGTGGAGGGTCAGTGCCCAGGCCTCACAACCGACCAAAAAAAAAAAAAAGTGGAGTGCTAGCTAGCCTTAAATGAAAAAGCTGCCCAGGAGTAGTTGAAGCTCTAATACTGGCACCCAAAAAGAAAAGAAAAAAATGGAGATATTGAGACAGACATAGAATGGTTTGATCAGTTAGCCAGCAATGCAGAAGTAAGATTCAAGGTTATCTGCAAGCTATCTCCTCATCTGGAATGTTCCCTTACAGCAATCAAACCAGACAACTTGCTCTATCAGTCGGACCTGGTTCTGACCTCAGCAAGCTACTACACTCCTCTGAGCATCAGTTTCCTGTAAAAAAAATGAAGATTAAAAAAAAAAATGCATCTAAAGTATCATGGGACAATCAACCTCAATGTAGCTTTTAGAATGAAGTTCATTTATGAAGCTATTCATTCATACAAACATTCCCCAAGTGCTAGAACAAAAGCAGAGTTCTTGAAGTAGGGTAAGGGTAGATGGTGGAGCACCGCCCCCCTTGCGTGGAGTATATTAATTCCCAAGGGGGAATGCCTTAGATGTCTTGATGGTCTCCACACACATTCTTGAATAGTTGGTACTTAATTATTAATCAAGTATCAGCTCTGGATAGGGCTTTTGAAACCATCCAGCTCAAAGCTTTGGTTTTAGACGTAGGGAGCGCCAACCCCACGAGGACAAGGGATCTCCTTCCAGCCTCGTGCTGCCCTCCAAAGCATGGCCCAACTATTTTCCCAGGGGTGTTTTGTAATTTGGCTCCCAAGAGTTCTCACTGGCCACTTAAAGTTTCCGCCCCACCCCTACTTCTGTGTGCTTCAAAGAGCGATTTCTCAGGCCGACCAGATATATTTTTAAATTGACATACACCTGTGAGTGGGGTGGGGGGGTGTGAGTGCCCTAGAACTCCCTGGGCCTCGTGCCAAGTCAGAGGCCTGAGCCCCTGGGCAGCAACACCTTTGCCCACCCCTCAACCCTAACTCCCAAAACAAGGATGCCTTTAATTGGCTAGGGAGGGAGTGGCAGGAAGGCAGATGGGGAATGCTCCCAGCTGGACAGGAAGAACTGGTTTAGGATGGTAAACCCCCGCCAAACAGAGGAGAGGGCAGCTGGGTGCTGAGCTTTAGGTTCCCTTCTCAAAGCCTGTGGCACCCAAGGGTGTGAGGGTGCACCATCCAAAGGGAGGGAAGATTTGCATGAAACCTAAAATTTGGGGAGGGGACCAAGGAACACTACTGGAGAAGAGGACTACTAATCAGACATTCTGATGGCCTGAATGCTCTCTGCTATGAAGGTGGTTATCCAGTCATTCTTCTCCATACACCTTCATCTGGGTGGTGGAAATAATACATCACCATGTGCTAGAGTTCTGTGAAGATAAAATATTCCAGGTTTGGCACAGGGAAAGTACTCATAAATTGTAATCATAATGGCTGTTAAGCCGAAGTCCTTTTCCCTAGACCTAAAATTTCGTCTACCTGCAAACAGAAAAAAGAGTCCACGGGGCCATCTTTCCAGTCTAGATCAACTGTGATATGGTCTGATTTTTGCAGCCACAAGCTGAGAGGTGGGGTGGGGGCCAAAAGGGGAAGTTATGTGCCCCAATGAGAGCAAGAGGTCGGTGATAGTACCAGAAAGAGGAAAGCTGAGGTCAGGGTGAAAGATTGACACTCTGAGGAAGCAGCTGCTTAGGGCTAACTTCTCCTCCAGCTGGATGGGCCTGTCACCCAGCACAGGGACTGGCAGCCCCCCCCCCCAGACCACATCCTCCGGGCTGCCCTCTGGACCCAGCTGCCCACTCCTCCCCCAGAAGCACCTGTATGCTCAGCAGCCCCAGAGCTGAGCCTAGCATGTGACTGTCCACGTGGTAACCTTAGTTGCCCTAGTCCTTTCCTCTTTTTCTCCACCTGCTCAGACAGCATTCCTTCAATTACCTCCCCCCACTCCCCAAGGGCTCAACTCCTAAACACCCTTCAGTATCTCATTTAGAACAGCAGAGAAGCAGGTCCCGCTTTGCCACTAATGTTTCCCCAAAGATGTCCTTGGGTGGGCAGCGGGGAGGGAGAACCGGGGAGTGTTAGCTGGGAATTGTTTTCTTCCACTCAGAATCCTTGAGGCTTCCCGGCCCAAATCTCACCATCAGACTACAGTTGCCTGGAAATGGGGACCCACTAGAACTTAAGAAAACAGCAGGCCCTTCGGAAGCTTGGCTATCTCCTTGGAATCTGACTCAGCCAGTTATTAGCTGTGTGACCTTGAGCAAGTTACTTAACCTCTCTAGCCTCGGGACCAGCTTTAGAACAGTAAATAGTGGGGTTGTTAGAATTAAGCAAGTTGTTGAGCCATTACAAAGCTATTAGAACTGAGAGGGGCATACTAAACAGGCTACATATTTCCACCTTCACCCAAGATTTTAAATTGTGCCAGAGGCATTGCTCAGGGGCTCATCCATTCTCAACAAGGGCCTGCAGGCAAAACTAACTTTCCCCTAAGGGCAGATGGGAAAGGGAATCCACGCTTTCAAAGGAATGAACATGAATGATTTAAACTCCAGGGAATGCCTTCTCCCCCCCCTCCCCCCGCCCCCACACGAGGCTATATCAAACCCGAAACCTAAGCTCCTGGGGATCAGATCCACTCTCCCAGCAATTCCTGTACCCCTAACTCCTGGTCTCCTAACTCCCTTTCTGGTTGCTGGGATGGGGCTTCTGGTGGCCCAGGATTGCACCAATGGACAAGTGAAAGGGAGAGATTTCTCTGGTCTCTCTGGGGCCTTCTTTTCTCCACCTCCCACCCCTACCCACTCCACACAGGGTAAGTGTTCCAATTCCTCAATAGAAACGATTTCTTCCTTGCAGAAAGCTCGAGGCTCACCGCCTAAGCCATTCCTCCGGTCGGCCCTTGGAAGATGCCCTCAACTTTCTAGCAGTCGCTGCTTGCCTCATTCCCCCTTCCCTGGGACTCCCAGAGGCAGGGCCTCCACCCCTCCCGAGGTCACTGGCCGGGCCGTGGCTGGGTCTAAGGTCAGGACTCTGCTGTCCTTACCCGGCGTGTGAAACACGGCCCCCACGAGCCTCCAACCCCCGCTCCGAACGTGGTCATCTCCCCTGCACCCCTCATCTCCAAGCCATCTGGGATTCTGGGCGTCCAGAGGGAGCTGGCGGGGGGTGGGGAGGGGTGCTCCGCGCCCGCAGCCGGGGTCCCCCCCCAAGAATCCCCGCGTAAGGGTGAGGGTGTGGGGGCTGAGCTGACACCGGCTGGGTCACCTCCGAGCCCGCGGCGGGGGCCGAGGCCGGCGCGCTGCCCGCTGCCTGCCACCCCGGAGCGGAGTTCCCAACAAAGTTTGCCCGGCCTCGGAGTCCAATCGGGGACTCCGAGCACCCCACGCCACCGCGATCCCACGTCCTCCGGCACAAAGGGAGCGCTCGCCCCGGTCACCCCCACCCCCAAACACCTACCGACTCGGCGACGGCTGCGGGGAGGCCCACGCAGAGCAGCAGCAGCAGCAGGGGCAGGAGCGGGCGGGCGGGCGCCATGGAGCCGCGGAGCGGGGCCGGAGCGCGGGCTGCGTGCGGAGTGGCCCGGAGAGGGTGCGCGGCCCCTCTTATAGGCGGCGGCCCCGCCCCCCGCCCCCGCCCGCCCCGCCCCGCCCCGCGCGCACCCCGCCCGGAATTCCCCCGAGAACGCTGGGCCGCGGGGCGCACGCACGCACGCGGAGCTGGAAACCCCGGGGGACCTGCTCGGTGCGTGCGCGCACGCGCGCGCTCCTGCGCCCGCCCGCTCCAAGGGGGACCCTCCCGGGGCTCCCCTGGACTTCGTTTATCCGATCCACTACGAGCCCCCCACACCCAACCCCACTCAACCCCACTTAAAGTACAGTTGGGGGAACTGAGGCCCAGAAACGGGGAGGGTGGCCCGGGGACTGCGGGGGGGCGGGGGCGGTCCGTTTAGACCGGCTTTCAAAGTGGGTGCGCTCGCCTCTGAGGCCACCCAAGACTTTCTAAATGGGTCAGGGCAAACTTACGCAGCGATCGGCAAAGTTTTCGTACAGCTAACTATTCCGCGCTTTCTGGGCCTTGGAACTACTCTGAACTATTCAGACCAAGTGCCATGGGTAAAAGCAGGCACGCAAACGTTAAGGGAAGCTGGGCTGGTGGCTCAGGCCTGTGTTCCTAGCTTCTCAGGAGGTTGAGATCTGAGGAGCACAGTTGGAAGCCAGCCCAGGTAGGAAAGTCTGTGAGACTTATCTCCAATTAACCATCAAAAAGCTGGGGGCGGAGCTGTAGCTCAAGTGATAGAGCTCCAGCCAACTCTGAACAAAAAAGCTCAGGGATAGCACCTAGGCCCTTATTTCGATCCTTGAAGACAGACAGACAGACAGACACACACACACACACACACACACACACACACACTAAGGGAATGGCTTACCTGTCAAGGCAAGGCATTTGAGTTTTGTATAATTTTCTCTGCCTCCTTCACCTCCTTTCTTGCCACTCTGGCTGCCCTTACTCCTTCTCCCACTTGGAGACAGGGTTGTCCAACATTCCCCAGGCTGGCCTCCACCTCACAATCCTCCTTCCTCAGCCTGAGTAGTCTTTGGGATTCCAGGTCCTAGACATTATTAGGTCCAGCTCCTTAACATCCCTTCTTCTACTCCTTGAGTTTTATCCAAGAATGTAAATCTTTTCAAAGAAGGAGATTTAAAAGAGCCTTAAAAGTAAAACAAGTTTCAAACACTGACCATATTTTCCCATAGACTTAATGATGAGCAACTCAAAACTATTCTGAATATACTTCCCTAAAATTTGGAAACTAAAAAAAATGAATGAATCACCCTAGAATAAGACTTTTTTTTGCAAGTCTCATGGTTTACAATATTCACTTCGCAAAAAAATGAAAGATTTAATCTAATTGTGAGTAGGTAGATCATTAGAAATAATTTTTGCTGCTAGATCACTACATGACTTTAGTTAGCTGTCATCACATTACTATAACAAAACCCCTTCAGTTTCCACCAACTCAAGGCTGGCCTTGAATTCCCAACCTTCCCGCCCCAGCCTCTCAAGTACTAAGATTACAGGCCAGCCAAGTTCTTTAGGTGAAAATTTCTCAGTGTGTACAGGTAGTCTATCCGTGTGCTGGTTAATGTTTGACAACAGATGGGGAGATGCGGGGGTGCTAATTTGTGCCATTTGCCAATTTCTGTGGTGTAAATATTCCCACCATGGTTGATTTCAAGCTACTAATGAGATGTCACTGGTCATGAAGTTGGAAGGCAATCAGCAATGTTTGTACCACACAGTCTTCAAGTAGATGATAAAGTGTAGTGAGACAATTAGGAAGTAATGAGTTCTGAATACTTAATTTCTTTGCCTTTAATTATTTACTTATGTGGTGCTAGAACCTGAATCCAGGGTGTGCGTAAGCATTGTACCACTGAGTTGTAACCACAACACCCTTCAATAAGCTTCTTAACATAAAATAGGCACTGTGCAGGAGGTGGAGATTAGGAAATAAAACTCAAGGCCAGCATGGGGCAGAAGTTAGCTTTACAAAAACAAGCCAAGCATGGTGGGGCATACCTATGGTCCCAGCTACTTGAGAGGTGGAGGTAAAATGACTAATGTCCAAGGCCAACTTGGGCAAAAATATGAGTCCCTAGCTGAAAAATATCTGGTTAAAATGATGGCGCGTTTGTCTCACAAGCCTGAGGCCCTGAGTTCAGTCCCCAGAACTGCCTGCCTGTGTGTGTGTGTGTGTGTGTGTGTGTGTGTGTGTGTGTGTATGTGTGTGCGCGCACTTACACAGACACACATATAATAAACTTTGTAGTAAAATGTGGAGTAGAACTTTCTGACTCTTAGAGAAGAATCTGTTCATGTATTTATTTTTAATGAATGGTTGAGGATCAAATTTCAAGAATAGTTAATTCAACTGAATACATTTAAATGATGTAACTCTTATAACTCCTCTCTGTGTATGCGTAGGCATGCATGTGCGTTCGTATGTGTGTGCACATGCACTAGGGTTAGAACCCAGGCTCTTAGTTTGTTTTTGGTTGGCCATAAAACTTGAACTCTCAAGACTAGTGCTCTAACACTTTGAGCCACAGCACCACTTCCAGTTTCCTGGAGGTTATTTGGAGGTAAGAATCTCATGGACTTTCCTGCCCAAACTGGCTTTGAGCCATGATCCTCAGATCTCAGCCTCCTCAATCCCTAGAATCACAGGCATGAGCCACTGGTGCCTGGCTCAGAACCCAGGCTCATATGGATGCTAAGCAAACACTGTACCTACCACTGAGCTACAACCCTAGCCATAATCATTTTATTTTTAAGTATATACAAAGTACACAGATTTACAATATGTTGAAATTACAACCTTTGTAATTATTTAACCATCTGGTAAAAAGTGTTAACTATCAATTAAAGACTGTGCCAAGGAATACATGGTTTTAAAATAATAATTTAGAGAAAATACAACCAGCAAAGAATGAAAACGTTCAGTTTACAGTTAATAGGATTTCTATAAAACTATCTCAACCTTCTGGAATTAAGAAATTAATTTCTCCCTCCCCAAGTTCTGAGAACCTGTCTAAAGAGATGTTGGAATATAGGTATACATGTATTTATGAGGTTTTATCTTTGGTTCCTTGCAAAGGACACATAATAGCCATTATTCCTGTACAGTATTCTATGGTAAGAGACTTCAAATTGTGTATGTGTGTGTGTGTGTGTGTGAGCACACATGTACACACAAGTCCTGAGGACTGAACACAGGGCCTGGGCACTGTCCCTGAGCTTTTTGTGCTCAGTGCTAGCACTCTACCACTCAAACCACAGCTCCACTTCTGGTCTTTTTTGGCATCTCATTGGAGATAAGAGTCTCATAGACTTTCCTACCTGGGCTGGCTTTGAACCTTGATCTTCAGATCACAGCTTCCTGAGTAGCTAGGATTACAGGTATGAGTGCCCAGCTTCAGATTCTTTTTTTTTAACTCTGGGCCTAAGCGCTGTCCCCCAGCTATTCAGTTCAAGGCTAGCACTCTACCACTTGAGCCACAGTGCCACTTCTGGCTTTTTCTACTTATGTGGTGCTGAGGAATGGAACCCAGGGCCTCATGCATGCAAGACAAGCACTCTACCACTGAGCCACCTTCTCAGCCCCCAGATTCTTTTTTGGGGGGGGGGGATCCGGTCGTGGGGCCTGAATTCTGGGCCTGGGTGCTGTCCCTCAGCTCTTCAGCTCAAGGCTAGTGCTCTACCACTTGAGCCACAGTGCCACTTCTGGCTTTTTTCTTTTTCTTATGTGGTGCTGAGGAATCGAACCCAGGGCCTCATGCATGCAAGACAAGCACTCTACCACTGAGCCACCTTCTCAGCCCCCAGATTCTTTAGATTTGTAAAGAAGTCCTGATCCTGCAAAAGATTAAAAACTTGACTAAAAGTTGAAGTTCTCTGAGAGGGTTATTTTTTTTTGGGGGGGGGGGGTAGGAGGAATTTCCCTTTGATTCTTAGAACACAAAAAGCAGTAGTCAAGATTTTTCAGTATTCAATCTATTTCCTGCATGGTGCTGAAACAGTAAACAGAACAAAACTTTTATAATTTTTAGAGCCAGAAGTTCTTGATTGCAATCCTCCTTCCAGAAACTGCCAGGTGAAGAAAACTTGAAAGTCAACATAGATGTCTGCAAAAAGAGAGAATGTTTTCTCAGCCATTAAGAGAATGAAATAAAGTTGCAGGCAAGGGGCATATGTCCCTGCCTTTCTTTATTTTCTAGGCCTGAAGTGAGTCCAAGTGAGCCACACACTTGACATCATCCATCTAGCTCCTCACCAAGCAAATGGAAATGAGCCACAACACTAACAGGCAGTCTTCTCTCATGGAGAACAAACAGGAGCTGAAACCCAGCTTATGACAGGGGTGAAGGTATTTTCCTTTACCTCACTTCTCAGGCTGGGTGTGTGCCTGGCACACACAGTGAGGTCAAGCCCAAGGGGATACTAGCAACCTCTCTTTAAATACGCTCTTCTGCAAACGTAAACCCATCACCTGCTTCTAGCTTTCATCTCCCCTTCTGAAATTTCTAGTGTTCTGTTTTCTCTCCCTGTTGGGTAAGCATTGTGAGAAAAGCCTTTTTTTCTATCAAAGTAGTTTGTTTCTTTTCTGTTAATCTGATGAGAATTGTTTTTTCTGAAAAGTTCCTGCTTTGGCCAGGTGGCTTGGCCCTTGTTAATTATATTTTAGGTACATCCTTTGCCTGCTGTACTTTTAAAAGACATCCTGTTAGAAGCTCCTTGAACCCTAGTAAATCTTGTTGATCAAGCCACATCTTTCCCGCCCCTCCCCCCCCTCCGTCATGGGGCTTGAACTCTGGGTCTGGGCGCTTTCCCTGAGCTCTTCTGCTCAAGTCTAGTGCTCTACCACTTCTGGTTTTCTGGTGGCTAATTGGAAATAAGAGTCTCACAGCCTTTACTGCCTGGGCTGGCTTTGGACCACGATCCTCAGATATCATCCTCCTGGGTAAGCTAGGATTACAGGCCTGAGCCACCCCAGCTAGG